ATGTGTAGGTGAGCGATCGGCCGCCGCGGACTCCGGGAAGGGAGGGCAGGCAGGGAGGGCAGGGAGGGCGGGCAGGGAGGGAGGGAGGGAGGGCAGGGCAGGGAGGGAGGGCAGGGGGGGCAGGGAGGGAGGGAGAGAGAAAAGTGCCAAGCGCAGTAGGTTTGTCAGGCTGATTTCCTGGCGCACTCACATCTCGCATTATAGTCAGCCCTGTTCCGTGGACGTGCTTTCAGTGCTGTGCACTTCGCTGAGACCGCTGTCCACTCTGAAGACTCTCGTCTTCCTCCTCCTCCTCCTCCTCCTCCTCCTCGTCGTCGTCGTCGTCGTCGTGACAGAGTTTAGCAAGGCTTTGCAAGACGTGCCAGGTATAAAGGTGCACAAAGATCTGGGCTAGATCCTTGACATTCGTCACGACACCCTCTCTTGGCGTTAGTGGGGCGGCCGCCGATGGTGGATTTTGTTTTCTGTGTGCGGCGGGCGCTAAGTGTATCGTTCGGCTAAAACTGCCCGCCTGGAATATTGAGAAAACCGGGTGCTAAGAATAACCCAGGGGGGTTTCTTAATGCCTTCCTGAGGTTATTATTATTATTATTATTCTTATTATTATTATTAATATTAGTATTATTAATATTATTATTATTAGTAGTAGTATTGTTATTATTATTATTTGTCCTTCTTCTTCTTACCTGCACCACCACAGCCACCCTGAGACCTTGGCGTCGCGCCGTTTTTTTGCTGTGGCGCCACGAGCGAGCCTTGGGGCCTCGTCTCGGGCCCGCGGGCCCGCAGACGGGTGGCTCCGGCTCGGAGAGGGCAGCGGCCCTCGCCTCTCACTCCAGGAGAGGAAAAAACACACAGACACAATGAATCCTCGATGCCCCAGAAAATATAGGAAAATATGGGAAGTGGGGGGGGGAAGGCAGAAGCCCCGAAAACAGGGGAAAAGATGGGGGATCCTTGTATTTGTGTGTATTTATGTGTGTGTCCCAGGGCCCCTTCATCATTCTTCCAGACCTTCCGTGCTGACCTCCCACCATCGTGCGCTTCGTGAAATGCTTAATTGTCTTGCGTTTCCTGAGGCTTTCAAGAGTTTCAATGCATCACCTTCCGCGCCTTCCGCGGAGGTCGGAAGGCATGGAAGATGGAGGTGGAGGGAGAAGGAGGGGAGAGCAGGTCTCCGGTCGAGTTGCTCTACGATGTTGCAGTTTCGGGACCCGCCGATGCGAAGACACGCAGCACGGCGACAGATCACGACCGTAGCTTCCAGTTGTTTCATTCCCAGACGTCGAGCGTCTCGAAAAAGTCGAGACAGACGCTTTTCATAGTTTTTGGCCTCTCGGGGCCCTCGCCGGGCCTCGGGGTCCTCGGGACCGTCAAGAAACGACTCGGGATGAAAAGCCGGTCCCAGGGAAGTGGTCGGGAGGTCGGGGGCCCGCGTCCGGAAAAAATCGAGACGTCGGACGTCTGGGTTCATCACTCGGGGGCCCAAGCGGGGTGGTGACCACACCGTGTTGTGAGTCGGTGGGGATTCGGGGGTCATCGCACGGTTTTGGGGCCCGGGTCGTTCTCCGAGGGCGTCTCGGGCGATCGGGGCATCCGAGGTTTCAAAACCTTTGCGTTGACAGACCGTGCGGTGAGGTCTTGGGGGATTTCGAGATCACCGCACGGTCTGCCACCGCACCGTTTCGGGACTCCAGAGTTTGTGCTCGTGACATCGGGTCTCCCAAGCCCCTGCAAACGGGGCATTCGTAAACGGGGTGGTGGCTGAGGGCCTTCTTCGAGCGAGAACGGGGCGATAGGGTATTTGCTTCGCACCAGTGCGTGATATCCCTCGGGACGACAAGAAGCGTCGCCACATCATCCCAACTCTGGGCGGCGGGGGGGGGCCTCGCGCTGGTGCGCGGCAGATCCACGCGCAAACCACTCGGAGCTAAGGAGAACGCACTCTGAGCTACCGGCCCGTAAACCAACGCCCCGTCCGCAGGAGGAGGGGGAGGAGGAGGAGGAGGAGGAGGAGGAGGAGGAGGAGGAGAGTAGGAGGAAGAAGAGCAGAGGGAATGAAGTAGGAGGAGGAGGAGGAGGAGGAGGAGGAGGGGAGGGGATTAGGAGGAGGAGGAGAGGAGGAGGAGGGAGAGAGGAGGAGGAGGAGAGCATGAGGAGAGGAGGAGGAGGAGGAGAAGGGGAGGAAGAGCAGGAGAGGAGTAGGATGAGGAAGAGAGATTAGGAGGGGAAGGAGGAGGAGGAGGGAGGGAGGATGATGCTGAAGATAATGGGAGAGAGGAGGAGGCAGTAAGGAGGAGGAGGAGAGGGAAGCGGCGGCTGGTGTGACGGTATGAGGATGGGATCTCAGGGCGCGCCCAGTGCGGTGCACCCTGCGCCCTCGGAGGGCGCCCAGACAGTCGTCGGCGTCTGGGCGGCGGGCCCCGTCGTCGTTTTTTGTTCGGCCTCCCGGCGCCCTCGCGCCGGGCCGCGCGGCCCCCGTCCACGAAGGGGCGGCTCGGATGATGAACCGACCACAGCATTAATCCTCCTCCTCCTCCTCCTTCCTCCTCCTCCTCCTCCTCCTCCTCCTCCTCCTCCTCCTCCTCCTCTTCCTCCTCCTCCTCCAGCATTAATCCTCCTCCTCCTCTTCCTCCTCCTCCTCCTCCTCCTCCAGCACGTCGGATCCCTAGGCCTGCTCCCCAGGACCCTCCCCCTCATCGTTCCGGACCTGCCGCCCGGACCTCCCTCCTCTCTTTTTGTCGATAGGATCCCGGTGGGTTTCCGTGAGCTGCGTGAGGCTTCCAGGAGTTTAGAGGAATTCTTCTTCCGCACCTTCGGAACGTTGGGTCGGCGCCACAGGATGGGGTACGGTGGAGGCCCACGCCAAGAAGCACCCTGCTCGCTCAGGGTGCCCTGGGTTTCCTGGATTTCGACGGTTCTGCAATGGAAATCGTGACGTCCCCACACCAAACATCAATGGACGTCCTGGGGTCTCTTGTGGAAGGTTTCTTGTGGAAGGTTTCTTGTTGACTGGCCCCTACTGCAATTCGTGTGGAGGGTTTCTTGCTGAAGGCTTCTTCTGAAAGGCTTCTGGTGGAAGGTTTTTGGTGGCTGGGTCTCGTGTGGAAGGTTTTTTGTGGAAGGTTTCTCTTGTGGAAGGTTTCTCTTGTGGAAGGTTTCTCTTGTGGAAGGTTTCTAGTGGTTGGGCTTCGCGTGGAAGGTTTCTTGTGGACTGGCCCCCGCTGCAGTTTGGCCCTCCTGGTCTCGGCCGGGAGGGCGTCTTGCGCCCCGCCGGGGCCCCCCGGATGGCCCTGGCCAGGCGCGGCCAGTGGCGTGACGGTGCAAGGGGAGGGAGGAAGGACGAGGAGAGACAGGAAAGCATGGCGAGTAGGAGGAGGAGGAGGAGGAGGAGGAGGAGGAGGAGGAGGAGGAGGAGGAGGAGGAGCAGAGAGGGAGGGGTAATGATCATCTGACGACTTCAACGGTGGGAGGTAAGGAGAGGAGAGAAAGGAAGAGAGGATTGGAGGAGGAGAGCAGCCGCCTCTCGCCCAGGCAACGTGGCGAGGGCCGCCGTGACCGTGGCCGTGCTCCGCAGCCCTGCCGAGTCCCTGCCGGCGGATCCCGGCGCCCGCGATCGGGGCGCCGCCGGCGCCCGTCCCCCGGCAGTCCAGCCTCCAGCTGGGCGAGCAGTGTCGAAGAGTCTGGCTCCCATGTGCCGACCAGAATTCGTCTCCTCCCCCCTCCTCTCCTCCTTCTCCTCCTCCTCCTCCTCCTCCACCTCCTTTTCTCCTCTCTCCTCCTCCTCCTCCTCCTCCTCCTCCTCCTTTTCCTCCTCCTCCTCCTCCTCCTCCTCCTCCTCCTCCTTTCCCAGGTGGGGCGAGCAGTGGCGAAGCGTCAAGTCGGGCCTGTCTCTCTACAGGGGAAATATTCAAAAAGAATCAACAAATAATATGGGGAGACTTTTTTTGCCAGTTTTGAAATGTTCTATGGCATTCTGGGGGTAATGCTAATTTTTCGTCCAAAAATTCCCCTGTAGGGGGACACGCCCGACCTAAGCGAAGCGTCCTGGCTCCCATGGGTTGCCACCGAACTCCTCCTCCACAAGCAGGCCTGCCCGCGCCGTGGTAGGGGCACGGCGGGGTCCGGTCCCCCCTGGGAGTAGTCTAGAGGTCTGGGAGGCCTCATCGAGCAGTGGCGAAGCGTCCTGGGTTGCCTATACAGTGAGCGGCTTGAGTAAGGATCATTTATGTTTCTAAAGGGGCTCGGTCGATCCTTAAGGCTTGCATGCGTTACGTATCATTCCTTATGCGTTTGTATTGTTTATCGTTCCTTATGCTTTTTCCCTTGGAAAACAGTGGCGTCGTTCCTTATGTATCGTTCATTAGGTCAGGCCGACGACTGTAGGCCCACCAAGACATGTTCTAAGAACCGTTTGTGGTCTGCACGTAAGGTTCTCAGAACAGTTCTGGCCGAGGCCCTCTTCTTTTGGCTCACTGGGCCCACGTTCTCAGAGCAGCGTGTTTGTTCTTAGGGCCTAAGCTTGGGGGTTCTAAGGACGCGTCGTGGCAGGCCTACAGGTAGGCCGGGACGGTGGTGCCCTACTCGAGTGGGGACAGAGTGCGGTCGGCACCTTTGGCTCCGCGTGTCGCTCCGCCGGTTCCGACCCACCGCGCTTGCAGGGCACAGCGTGTCGCTGGAGCCCCCGCGGCGACACGCTGGGCAAAAGTTCCTGGCCGTGGGTGGGGTCGGAGCAGCGCGCCGCATCGCCGATGCATGGCCGATGCGGCTCGATGTGGAGTTCGAGCACGGCGCCGATGTGTCGCCGACGTCGCCGATGCATCGACGATGCGGCGCGATCCTCCTACTCGGACACCATTTGGGAGGCCTTCAGGTAGGAACGCTCCTGAGCGACCACCTCGCGGGCCTGGCGGGGGTCCTGCGCTCGGCGCTGGTGGGCGCGGGGCTGCAAGTCAGGGAAGTCATGCAGGACCGAGGCGGACGAACGTTCGAGGTGTGAGGTTTTGGACGTTTTCGTCGGTCGACGGCTGCGCCTCGCCGAGAGCTTTCCGGGGGTGCCCGCATCGCCCCGAACGGCCGTCAGGGGGCCGAGCTATGACCCGAGAGCCACCACCAGCAGAGGGGGTGGTCGGGGGTGGACAGAACCCCCAACAGTGACACGTCGATTAGTGAATTGTCCGTTCTCGGTTCTCGAGAGGGCGCCGTGGCCGTTATTTTCCAGGCTTGTGCGCGCGCCAGGTTTGGGCCCGAAGTCGTTTTCACTAAACCACGTTTTGCTAAAGGGGGGTCTGTCCATCCCCGAGGTGGGCCTTCCCCTGAGATCCCATGGTCAGGAGCGATGGCTTTTAGCGTGTCGCGCCGCCGGTTCTGGCCCACCATGCTTCCCGTCCCCGGAAAGTCGACGTCCCGAGCCCTTGCCAGCCTCCCGCCCCACGGAGCGGGGCGGCACGCTAGCCGGTGGCAGGGCACAGCGTGTCGCCGAGGCCGCCGCCGCGACACGTGGAGAAAAGCTCCTGACCGTAGTTACCCTGAGATCGGGCGTCTCGAAAAAAATCGAGACGGAGGTTTTTGTTTTCACGGTTTTCGGCCTCTCCAAGCACTTCAAGGGCTTCGGAACCGTCAAAAAAAACTAGTCCGGATGAAAACCAGTCCCGGGGAACTGGTCGAGACTTCGCGGGCTTGGGTCTCGAAAGAATCGAGACGCCGGAGGCTTTGGTAACTCAGGAGAGGCAGAGGTACCCATACCGCTGCACTTCCGTCGCTTTCGCTTCTTTTTCCCAGGAGGGAAAAAGAAGCACACAGACACAATGAATCGTCGATCCCCCTGAAAATATGGGAAGATATGGGAAGTGGGGGGTAGACACAAACCCAGAAAACATGGGAAAATATGGGGGATCCTGTAATTTGTGTATATTTCTTCGTGTGTCGCAGGGCCCCCTCATTTTTGGGGGGGCCTCCTGGGGGGGGGGGGACCGCGGTCGCCACGGCCGGATACGAATCGGAAGTCCAGGCCAGAGCGCCGCTCCGGAAGAGGTGCGGGGAGCAGCGACGTCGGCCCTGGCAGCAGGAGGGGAGTGCGGAAACGCGCGCTGGGCTTGGGCATGTCGGCATTCGGCCAGACGACGACGACGACGACGACGACGACGACGACGACGACGACGCCGACGCCGACGACGACGACGCCGACGACGACGACGACGACGACGACGACTGCTTCTCTTGAGTCGGGCCTGTCCCTCTACAGGGGGAAGGATTCAAACATAGCGAAACAAGAAATGCTCTGGGGCCTCCACCTCCATCTTCCATACCTTCCGACCTCTGCGGAAGGCGCGGAAGGTGATGCATTGAAACTCTTGAAGGCCTCGGGAGACGCAAGAAAATTCAGCATCTCACGAAGCGCCAGAGTGTGGAAGGTCAGCACGGAAGGTCTGGAAGAATGAGGGCGAGGGACCGAGATGGGTGGCAGGCAGTGGTGCGTCTCGGCCCCGCCGCCTGGCGCTCTCTCCTCGATGATTCGATTGGCACCCCTCTGGCGCCGGGAGGCGCCCTCGTGCGAAGCAGGTGCGCGCAGGAAGGCTGGCGCTAATGCCCCCCGTTTGGGATCCTCACGCTTCTCGGAGGGAGGAGAAGCGACACCAGCACCACCAGGGGGCCCACATCCAGCGAAGAGATCCACGATGCCTCCCCGAGCTGGAGGCTGCGGATGTCTCGAGCGAGAGGGGGAGACCACACCAGCAGGGAGACCCCCCTTGCCTCCTCGCATCTCCTCGCCCTGGTGGGGTTGGCGTCGCCTTTCCTTTCCCAGGCCTCCGAGGACTTGATCTTTGTAGCACGGGGCCCCCAGATCTCTGGACCTCTTCCCCGGGACCAGGTTTTCGTCTTGCACTGGCGGTTTGGACCACACCGTGGCTCGGCGAGGGTCTCCGGAAGAAGAGCAAAACGAACATCCTCTGTCCTGATGTTAGCCAACGCGTCGGAGGTCCCCCGAGACCCGACGTCACGAAAAAATGCAGCATCCTAAGCCAAAACTCGCCGGAGCCCTGGCCCTCACCTTCCTGCTGCCTTTTTCGAGCCTGTTCGATCCCGAAGCAGGGGAAGGTCGCCCGGCGCTAGACACAGCTGCGGCGGCAGGATCTCAAGATTTGTCGATGCGTTGGAGCTCTGGGCCCGTCCGGCCCCACAGGACCTCACCGCCGCCCTCGGCGAGCCGCCGCGGCGGCCGTTCGAGGAGCCCGGCTCCGGCGGCGGCCTGTCTTGGGCAGTGGGCGCGGCGGTCGTTTGCGGCGTCCTCGCGGCGCGGCTCTGTGCCCTGAGCTTCGCGGCGATGCCGGGCGAGTGCGAGGCCCGAGGCAGAAAGAGCGGCGCGAGCACACGACCTCTCTCCTATCTCCTCTATCCTCTCTCCTCTCTCCTCCTCCTCCTCCTCCTCCTCCTCCTCCTCCTCCTCCTCCTCCTCCTCCTCCTCCTCCTCTCCTCCTCCTCCTCCTCCTCCTCCTCCTCCTCTCCTCCTCCTCCTCCTCCTCCTCCTCCTCCTCCTGCGCCTCCGCCTCCGCCTCCGCCTCCGCCTCCGCCTCCGCCTCCGCCTCCTCCTGCGCCTCCTCCTCCGCCTCCTCCTCCTCCTGGAGTCCTGGAGTCCTGCGCGCACCCCCCGGCGGCGCGCGCGCGCCAGGCAGGCCCAGACATGCGATGCCCTGGCTTTGTGCAGCACGGGGTCCCCCGAAGCAGCGACCCCTTCCCCGGGGCCGGGTTTTCATCCTGAGTCGTTTCTGGGCGGTCGCCGGGCCCGGCGAGGGCCCCCTTTGAGGCCCAGCATTGACGAAGCATGTCCGTCCCGATTTTGTCCACGACGCGAGCCTGTCTGGTGGCCCCGCGCGGGCTCCACCCGCATCGTAAGGGTGAGCGGTTTTCCATGGTCTCCCGATCATTACGGGAGGAACAACCACCCCGACCCCGACAAGTGTCGTTTACGAAACGGCCCTGAGCGTCCACCAAACGGCCTTGCCCTGTTCGATTCCTTCTGTGGGTGCGGTCACTGCACGCCTCTGCTTGTCGGGGTGCTCATCTGAGAGTGGCTCTTCTGCTCCGGGGTGACAATTAACCGGGTTGAGAGGACAGGGCCTGGAGAAACGAGGATACCATTGCCCGTAGGCGGCCGAAGGCATCGTTCATTGCATCCAGATGCTCTTGCTCATACCCTTCGTCCTCCCAACCCTGGAGGGTTTCTCCGAAGGGATTAGGCGACCCGTCCTCCTCCTCTCTCCTCTCTCCTCTCTCCTCCCTCCTCCTCCTCCTCCTCCTCCTCCTCCTCCTTCTCCTCCTCCTCCTCCTCCTCCTCCTCCTCCTCCTTCCTCCTCCTCCTCCTCTCCTCCTCCTCCTCCTCCCCCTCCTCCTCCTCCTCCTCCTCCTCCTCCTCCTCCTCCTCCTCCTCCTCCGCCTCCTCCTCCTCCTCCTCCTCCGTCCTCCTCCTCCTCCTCCTCCTCCTCCTCCTCCTCCTCCTCCTCCTCCCTCCTCCGCCTCCTCCTCCTCCTCCTCCTCCTCCTCCTCTCTCTCTCCTATCTCCTCTCGCTCCTCTCTCCTCTCCTCCTCTCTCCTCTCTCCTCCTCTCCTCTCTCCTCTCTCTCCTCTCTCTCTCTCTCCTCCTCCTCCTCCTCCGCCTCCTCCTCCTCCTACTCCTCCTCCTCCTCCGCCTCTCCTCCTCCTCCTCCTCCTTCCTCCTCCTCCTCCTCCTCCTCGGGTCGCCTACGGCCCGGGGGGAAACCGTGCACCCAACCCCCTCCTCGCAACACGATAGTTGTTGTCCTCGTCGGCCCCCTATTTCTGAGGCCCTCGCACCCTTCTCGCGCCCCTGCCGTGCCCTGTGCTGCTCCAGAGAGGCGTGGAGGCCGCCGGCGGCTGGGCCCCGCGGGCCGGAGGACGACCAGGAGCCCCACGCGGCGTCCCGGTGAGGTCGGCCACGCGCAGAGGGGGGGCAGGGAAAGGGGGCAAGGCTTCTTAGAAGCACCCTGCCTCTTGGGAGGCGCGGGCGCCCCTTCCAAGAAGATTGCGGCGGCCTCCTGGAGGCTGCTCCCGGCGCGTGTCTTTGAGAAGCAGGCGGCTCGCTCCTGAGAAGTGGCGTTTGCTGCTGAGGAGCAGCCTCGTCGTGTTTCTAAGAGGCTGCCATGGTGCTTCTGAAGAGCGGCGCGCCCCTGGTTTCTTAGAAGGGCGGCTGGCGCCTTCTAAGAGGCAGCCGCCTTCTAAGAAGGCTTCCCCCCTCCAACTACCCCCTTGTGCGCGCCGCCAATAAGAGCTGCATCCCCAGGTTCGTCCAGGCCTCCTGGATGGGGCCGGAGCAGGCTCACCGCCCACCAATACACCCCAACCCAACCCGAAGGCCCCGATCTGCCCGCCATTTCCAGTGGGGGGGCATCGGGGAGAAAAAACACATGAAGCCCGTACCCCTCCCCCCCAGCCCGAAATTTGCATCTTCGAGTTGGGTTGGGGTTGTGAGGCAGGTAGTCATAGATAGTGTCGGTGGATCGCGCCGCATCGCCGATGCGGCTCGACGTGGGGTCCGACGTGCTTCATTTCGACGTCGCCGGTGCATCGCTGACGACGACCATGCATCACGGGTGCACCACCGATGCATTTCCGATGCATCGCCGATGTGTCGGCGATGCGGCGCGATCCTCCGACCCAGACCGTCCTCGAGGGCTAGAAAATAGCACCACGATCTCGACACCTAAAATCCAGTCGAGGTTTCAGCAAGTCAGATAGGTCTACAAGTCTGGAGAGCTATCTTCTAGCAGTCTGGAAGGTCTCAGGGTGAGAGTGTCTGTTCTCTGGAGTGACATTTCGCTAGAGTGACCCAGACCCCCTCGCGTTGGGGAAAAAATCGTGATGGGAGACTTTTCGCTATGTTCGGCCTCCGGGGGCCCTCGCCGGGCCTCGGGGAAGAGGTCGAAAGATTTCTGGGGGTCGACGCTATGGAAAAATCAAGGCGCGGAGGTGTTTCGGGATTTCCAGATCCCAATATACTTTAGGCGCTTCCCTACTTGAATGATCGAGCGGGTTCACTTCTTCCCACCCCTTCAGGGTTAGGCGGAAGCCCAATTTATTCTAGCCGCCTTCCTACTTCAGGCTTCTACCCACTTCTTCCGACCAACGGTTCAGAGTGATTCAGGAGGGGAAAAACACACAGACACAATTAATCGTCGATTCCCCAGAACATATGAGAAAATGTGGGAAGTGGGGGGGAAGACAAAGACCCAGAACGTATGGGACAATATGGAGCGCCTTGTTCTTTGTGTGTGTGTGTTTATTTGTGTGTCCCAGGGCCCCTTCAGATTAATGTTGGCCGCCTTCCTGCTACAGGCTTCTGCCCACTTCTTTCCGACCAACGCTTAAGCGTGACTTGTTTCCCCGCCGCCCCCGAGAGTCGCGCCCCAGAGGGTCCTCCTTGCCCCGGGCCCGGGGCCACCACCCCTTGCGCGTGGCCGGCAGACCTCGGGGCGGCGCATCTCGGGCGACGCGATGTGTTCGGCCAGCGCGTTTTTTGCTCCTGGATCTCAAGGGCGCCCTCGAGGGCGCGAAGCTGCTCGCGCTTCGCGGTTCGGCTCCGATTCCTCTTCGTCCTCCTCCTCCACTCCCCTGGGAGGCGGCGCGAGGGCGCGAAGTTATTCGCACTTCGCGGTTCGGCTCCGATTCCTCCTCGTCCTCCTCTTCTCCCTTGGGAGGCGGCGCGAGAGCGCGAAGCTCTTCGCACGTCGCGCTTCGCGCAGCGCGAACCGCGAAGCTGGGAGCCCATGCTGATTTCTCGCACGATGATGCACGGCATGAGCAAAACTCAAGCAGTGGCGAAGCGTCCTGGCGTGCCTGTAGGGCCACCGAAGAATGTTCTCAGAGCCTCTTGTGGTTTGCACGACGTGCTTTTTCCAATATGTATGGCTGTTCGTTGTTATTGGGACATAGTTGGGTTCTAAGAGAACTTCGTGGCAGGCCTATAGGAACTCTGGGACGGCCGGTCCCCGCTCGATACTTGGGGACGCGCGTGCGGACTGCCTCTGCCGCGCTGCGACGTGACAACGTTTCTCCCATGCTTGGTGTTCGGGGGGGCATCTTTTCCGCGAAGGGTGGCTATCAAGAGTGGTCCCGGGGCCAACACATGACCTGACGAACGGACAACATGCACCCATACCCATAGGGGGGTCGTTGGGAGGAGGACTGGCTATGGGTATGGGTGCGGGTTGTCGGACCCTGGGGAACGCTCCCGTTCGAGCGGGGGCCCCCATCCGACAACACGCACCCATAGCCCTCTCCGATCCCCCTATGGGTATGGGTGTGTGTTGCTAGTTCGTCATGACCCTAGGAGAGGCGGTGGGGACTTCCTGCGGCCGCGATGCGGAGCGATCACGTCGTCGGAGCTCTTGGCCGAGACAAGGGGGGTCGGCCATTGGGCCAGTGAGCCCCCTGCGTATGGTGATCTTGGCATCGTTCGGGCGGTTGCATGTGGCCCTCGGCGAGGACCATCGAGGAGCATGCCGGATTATACCTGGCCAAGAAGCGCGCACGAAAGTGACCATTTCACGGGGAAGGGACGTCCGAGCACTTAGCGAGAGATACGCGCGCGGTGTGTTGAAGCAGCCCGACCGTTGGTAGGCCAATCCGCAGCCCAGTTTCCTTCCTGCTTCTCCGGCGCTCAGGACAAAGATAAATCGTCCCAGTGCGTTCCAGAACGCGGCGACTGCGTCCAGGAACGCTCCAGAACGGCCGCGGTGCCCGATGGGTCCTCCAACCCGTTGGGTCTAAGAGACTTCGACATGTTTCTGCCCGATGTCTTGTCACTCAAGAGGCTTCCGCTATCCCGCTGACCCCCACAAGAGGACATGTTCAGGTTCGATGTGTGTGTGTGTGCTGTTCACAACTTCCCCTCTTGTTGCCTGCGTGTGATTTGTTGTTGATTCGTCCTCAGCTTCCTCCGCGTCTTTTGCGGGGCCTCTTTGGGGAGCCTCTTGGAGGCCTAGAGGGCGGCATCGTTGGAGCTGCTTCAGGGCTCAGAAGGGCTTTGGGGGCCCTCGGGGTTCTTGGAGGCCTCTTGGGGTCATGATGGACGTCTTGGGCACCTATTTGTAGGGGAGGGCACCTATTTGTAGGGGAGGGCTCCTGGGCCTCTGGCTGGGCTCCTCGTAGGGCCTTTTGTAAGTTTTTGATGCCGTCTTGGGCGCCTCTTCGGCCGTCTTCGGAGCACATTATTTGGGTGGAGGGCAAAGGGTGAATTCTGAAATGCCGTTTCGATGGATTTTCGAGGTTTGAATCTGCCAGCGGTGAATCATAAGACGGATCGATTTTCGAGGTGCAGAAGTCCATGTGGACTTCACCCTGAGCCCTCCACCCCAAGGAAATGCTCAGGTCTTGGGGTCTTCTTGGGTTGCCTCCGAGCTCTGCTTGAGTTTTGGGGCTTGCAGACGCCCGAAATGGCGAGAGCGCGCAGATCATGCAAAAACCTTCGCGAAAGCAATCGGTGTTTGACCGGTTCCGGCTCCAGTTCCAATCATGGAGCAATTTTTTTGTCGTTTCTGGTCGCCGTTTTTGTTACCGTTTCCATTTTCAAGGGACATGTTTGGGGAAACGGTGAAAAAACGGCCCTGCCATTTCCGGGGCCCACAAAGTGTCGGAACCCTTCTGGAGCCATCCTAGAAAGCATCTCGGGCAGATCTTGTCGAGGCCACGGAGTGGAGATCTGGAGGTTCCACAGTCCCCCCAGGGTGCGCCAGGAAGCCCCCCCCCCCCCTTCCCCTTGAAACGAAATGTTTGACCCTGGGGGAGGGGGGAGGAGGAGGAGGAGAAGGAGGAGGAGGAGGAGGAGGAGGAGGAGGAGGGGAGGGGGACAGCGAAATGTCTCACACGCCTTGTCTCCCCCCGCAAGCGGGGGCCGACGGATTACCGCTATCGTCTCAGGGCTTACGACACGGTTCAGAGAAGGCGTTTGGGCCAACTCAATTTGCTCGAATCCTCTTTGGAAGCCCTCACAGGAGGAGGAGGAGCTGGTCGTGCGGCCCATCACTAAAATCTTCCGGCTGCTCTTGACTGTTATCTGTCCAGCGTTCTTTGGAAGCTTGCTCAACATCAAGCACACGCTGGTCCCCGCGCTCCTGTGCGGCGCTTGACGTCAACATGATTGTTGCTAGGTATGCCCCTGTCACGTTTGTTTCTCAGTGCTCGCCCTGACCTTAACCATCTGACATGATTGTCACAAGGGTGCGTCTTGGATGACCCAAGTATTTGGAAGTCGTTTCCGTGTCAGATGTTTGCCCACGTCCTTTCACTTCTGGCCAAGCCCTGCTTTTGTTTTCCGTGCCTGGGCTTCCCGGACGCCGACTCTCGGCGTCTGGTTTCGGAGGATGTGGGATGATATGTTTATTATAAACGTTCGACGTTGCAGTATCATTCGCCGGGAATTCTCGGCCAATGATAATTAATTAAGTGCCTGGACGTCGGCCGTGTCTCTTTTTTTCGCCAGCCTGGAGGCAGAGTGGACTGCGGGATAGGCCACCTCCCCGGGGTCGGCTGGCGACAGGGGCAGAGTTGCGCTTCGGTGTGTGCCCCTGGATATGTTACATTTGTCATGTTTTGTGTGGGCAGTCCTCTCTCGAGGAGAGACTGGGGCTGGCCCGAACGCGCCTGGATCCTGATTTGGGCCTCGGGCGCCGCAGTAGACGAAGCAGCATTGGCTGGAGCTATAGGCGGTCCCGGGTTTTCCCAGCGGACGCGCAGCTGACGGGCCATTTTCTCTGTTCCCGTTCCTCCTCTCCTCTCCCTGCTCCTGCTCCTGCTCCTGCTCCTGTTCCTCCTCCTCCTCCTCCTCCTCCTCCTCCTCCTCCTCCTCCTCCTCCTGGTCCCTTCGTCAGCACATGCTGCTACCGATCATGTCTGCCCTCGCGACAGCACTCGGCAGAAGTATGTGCGCTCCTGCCCAGCGCAGCAGAGCTCCCGATCCGCGGTGTGCGCGCTGATCAGGCGCCGACCAGACCACGGCGGCTGGTTGTCATTGATGCGCATCGCACGGGGCGGGGCGAAACATGTCTGCTCCCTTCTCGCTCTGGAGGGTCTCTCCGAGGCTTTGTCCAGCCCTCCGCCTCCCCTCGTCGTCCCTCCTCCTCCTCCTCCTCCTCCTCCTCCTCCGCCTCCTACTTCTCCTCCTCCTCCTCCTCCTCCTCCTCCTCCTCCTCCCTCCTCTCCTCCTCCTCCTCCTCCGTCTCGGTCCTCCCTTCTCCTCTTTCACCCCTCCTCCTCGTCCTCCCCTCACTCTCCTCCTCCTCCTTCCCTCCCCTCTTCTTCTCCTCCTCCTCCTCCCTCCTCCTCCTCCTCCCTCCTCCTCCTCCTCCTCCTCCTCTCCTCCCCCTTCTCCTCCCGCTCCTCCCTCTCCTCCTCCTCCCTCCTCCTCTCCTCCTCTCCTCCTTCTCCTCCGCCTCCTCCTCCTCCTCCTCCCCTCCTCTCCTCCTCCTCCGCGCTCCTCCTCCTCCTCCTCCTCCTCCTCCTCCTCCTCCTCCTCCTCCTCCTCCTCCTCCTCCGCCTCCTCCTCCTCCTCCCCCTCGGGTCGCCTACGGCCCAGGGGGAAACCGTGCAAAGCTCCCTCCGCAGACACGGTCAGCCCGTTTATCGAAGAAGAAAAAAAACGCCATACACATAGCGGTCCGCGCGGATTTCTTGGAATCGCGCTGGGGCCCCCCTGGCGGCGCCTCCGGCGCCGCCCCTGGCGTCATCTGCGCGCCAGGGAGGGGGGTCCCGCGCGGATCCAAGAAGCCCGCGCGGAGCGCCAAAAGTTTCTGTTTCTGGCGTTTGCCCTTTTTCGAAGCTCGGGATGTGGAAGCTCTCTCTCCGCGGACCCGGTCGGCCCGCGTATGGCAAGGGCGCGCGGTGCGGACGCAACGGCCGTGGAAGGCCGTGCCGACCTTCTGCGAGCGGGGCGCAGCCAGCGAGAGCGGCCACGCACGGGCCGGAGGGGAAGGCAACCTTGGAAAGTTCAAGCAGTGGCGCAGCGTCTTGGCTCGCCTGTAGCCCTACCAAACAATGTGCTAAGAACCTTTTGTGGTCTCCAGGAAATGTTCTTAGAACATTTCTGGCTGGGACTGTCTTGTTTTAACACATCGGGTCCATGTTCTAAGAACATTGCTTTTGTTCTTAGAACATCTTCGGGTTCTAAGAACATTTCGTGGTATGATTATAGGAATGCCGGGACGGTCGGTCCCTGCTCAACAAATTGTTCATCCGCACCACGCGGGTTCATCGTACAGTATAGCAGACGGACCTACAGTGGAGACCCATGCCAGGAAGCACCCTGCTCGCCTCCAGGGTGCCCTCGGTTTCTCCTGGGTTCCGATATGGTTCTGCCGTGGCAAGCGCGACGCCCCCCCCCCCCCGAAAGTCAGTGGACGTCCTGGGGTCTCAGGGTTGGGCTCCTTGTGGCAGGCTTCTTGTGGGCTGGCCTCCGCTGCGCAGGCAGGCTCGCGCCGCGCCGGCGCCGCGGCGACGCCGGCCCGGGCGCTCGAGCTTGCACGCCGCCAGTGGCCACGAGCCGTCCGACGCCGAGCGGCCTGAGCAGTCGGGAGGCCGCGGCCGGGCAAGGCCGAGCGATCCACCGGGTGTCAGGGACCAGCGCGGACGGCATCGCCGCACGAACTTCCCTCCTCCTCCATCTTCCATACCCTCCGACCTCTGCGGAAGGCGCGGAAGGTGATACCTTCCTCCATCCATCTTCCATACCTTCCGACCATACCATGTCCATTCTTCCATACCTTCCTCCATCCATCTTCCATCTTCCATCTTCCATACCTCCCTCCTCCTCCATCTTCCATGTCCATCTTCCCTCCCTCCTCCTCCATCTTCCATACCTTCCGACCTCTGCGGAAGGCGCGGAGGGTGATGCAGTGAAGCAACGAAAAAGGCCCCAGGAAACGCAAGAAAAGTCGGCGCTCCACGAGAAGCGCACGAGCGTGGAGGGTCTCAGCGCGGAGGGTCTGGAATGAGTGCGAGGGCCGCCGACCTGTTGGGAGAAGAACGGAGGCGTTCCAGAAAGGGCCTCGCCTCTGAGGAGGAGGAGGAGGAGGAGGAGGAGGAGGAGGAGGAGGAGGGAGGAGGAGGAGGAGGAGGAGGATGAGGAGGAGGAGGAGGAGGGGGAGGAGGATGAGGAGGGAGGAGGAGGAGGAGGGATGGAGGCGGGGAGGCGGAGGGGGCTGAGGAAGGGAAGGAGGAGGAGGCGGAAGCAGTAGGAGGCGGAGGAGGGAGGAGGAGAAGGGCCTCGCCCTGAGGGTCGATGGATGTGGCATCTCGGCCCTCTCTCGGCCGGGAGGCGCGCGGGAGGCGGGACGAGGCAGCCCCCCGCCGGCGGACGCAATGGCGGAAGGCCGGCAGGAGGGGCCGGGGGCGGGGGGGGGGGGGGGGGGGGGTGGGGTGGGCGCCAAAGGTGCGCTCCCAAGGGAGGAAAGCACCTTTTCAGGAGGGAGAAAAAACACAGACACAATTAATCGTCGATTCCCCAGAAAATATGGGAAAGTATGGGAAGTGGGATGCAAGACAAGAACCAAGAACATATGGGAAAATATGGGGAATCCTTTTATTTGTGTGTATTTATTTGTGTGTCCTAGGGCCCCTTCACCTTTGGGGTTCAGGGTCGCCATAACCCTCCACGTTGTAACTCTTACAGTCGTAGTCGCGCACGCGGGAGAGATGAGCGCTCACCTGCTGATTGATCAGAGGCGTCCGTAGGTTCCCCGGGCGAAGCCGTGCATGCATGCCAGAGCAGGGAGCAGGCACACCGATCAACGAACGAATTCCTGCGGTGTCGCAGCTTTAGGCGTACCCTGAGTGCCTGGCGTCGCATGTCTCGCAACCGGCGACGTTGCCCAGTTCCGGGCCCCGGGGCCCTCACGGATCGGAACCGCGTCGAAGCATGATGTTGCAGTATGTTCACGACGTCGGCTCTCGGGGCCCGTGTGGTTCCTGTGCTGTCTGGGAACCAAGACAGGCCTGACCAGACCGCAATGCTGGAGACCAGATCTCCACCGGCACGGGAAGAGGGGCCTCCTGGGCGAAGGTCGCCGTCGGAGTCGTCGTTGTCGTCGTCGTCGAGGGGCGTCGTCCTGGCCGATCGTCGAGGGGCCATCGTCGAAGGCCGTTGTCGAGGGGCGCTCGTCGCCAGAGTCGTCGCCGTCGTCGTCGTCTTCCGCCTCGAGCCCCGCGTGGCTCCCGGCTGCACGGCGCGCGCTGCCCCGCAGCCCTCGAACAGCCCGCCTGCACGGCCTGTCCGGGGCAGAGCGCGGCGCGCCCGTGCGCGCGCCGCCGCCCTGCCCTCGCCCCTGTCGCCCTCCCCTCCCCCCCGTCGCCCTCCCCTCCCCCCCCTCCCCCCCCCGGCGGCTTCCCTGCTGTCTCTTCGCCTCGTGGCCTCTCCTCCCCATTGCCGCTTCCTCCTCCTCCTCCTCCTCCTCCAACTCCTCCTCCTTCCTCCTCCTCCAACTCCTCCTGCTGCCCCGCAGCCTCCACCATCCCCCTCCCTTTGCAGACCCCGACCATCGCCCCAGACACCACCATTCCCCACCCTTTCCCGCCTCTCTCCCCGTCCCTGCGTCGCTTCCTACAGACCTCCCCTTTCCCTCTTGCTCATATGCCTGACCTCCCAAACTGACGTACACGCACCGTCTCTGTTCGCTATCAATGTCATTTTCCCTCTCCCTAGCTTCCTTACATGTTTGCCTTACTTTCCATCGCCCCCCTCATCCCTCCCCTGCGCCTCCGTCCTCATCTCCCTCCTCCCTCCTCCTCCCCTCCTTCTCCCCGCACAGTGCGCGGCCGTCAGACGCACCGTGTTGATAGAGGGACAAGCGACCACCAAAGCACAGCCTCGAAGTCGGCGCAAGTGAACACCAAGCGCAACCGCCCACGAGAGCACGAAGCCGAGCTTGCCAACAAGTTAGCTGCCTGGCTTGTTAGGCTCTGATTGTCCTTCTTATGACTGCCCGTGCCACTCATACTCAGAACGCCTCCTCCTCTTCATCCTCCTCCTTTTCCCCCTCTCTTCGCTCTGCCCAGCCAGGGACTGGCTGGCCGTCGGCGATCCAGGAACTGGCTCGTCGCAGGCAATCATCCGGCATCAGGCAATCCCATGTGGTGCCGAATCTGCCGGGCTTATTCTGAGCGTTGGTGATTCATCACGCTCGCCCTCACTTCTACTGTTGCCGTCGCGTTTTCGGACGTCTCGTCGCTCTATGGCTCGCTCGCCTCGCTCTGCCCAGCCAGCAGGCTCCTCACACGACCAGGGGAGGCGGGGACACGCCGCGCTACTTCATGCTCCGGCAGGCGCTGGAGTGCCACCGGCTGCTGCTGCTGTTCGACGGCCTCGAGGAGGCGCCCCGTTCGCAGAGGGCGAGTGCGAGGGAGGCGGGGGGAAGGAGGAGGAGGAGGAGGAGGAGGAGGAGGAGGAGGAGGAGGAGGAGGAGGAGGAGGAGGAGGAGGAGGAGGAGTGAGGAGGAGGAGGAGGAGGAGGCGGAGGAGGTGGGAGAGGAGGATGAGGAGAGGAGAGGGAGTGATTAGGAGGAGGAGAGATAGAGGGAGGAGGAGGAGAGGAGAGGAGGAGGAGGAGAGGAGAGGAGGAAGAGGAGGAGGGGGGAGGAGGAGGAGAGGAGGAGGAAAATAGGAGGAGGGGGTTGGGAAGAGGGGTGGAGTAGAGGAGGCGGAGGAGGAGGTTGAGGAGGAGGAGGAGGGGGAGGAGGAGGGCCCAGCTGCAGCGTGCTCTTTTTCCCGGAGAGGTCCAGGCCCTCCTCGCCGCGGTTAGGGCCCATCTGAGGCGTTGGTCGCGGCCGTCGGCGTCGGTCCCAACGTGGGCTCCGCGCGCCGCGGCCGCGCGCGAGAGGGCCGGGGAGGGGGAGGAGCCCAGCTCTCCGACGAGATATGTTGGGGTGTGAACAATAAGCTCTAAGTTTACGAGCTCTACATAATAACAATAAGTTGTGGATAAGTTGATAACCATAAGTTCTAAGTCTAAGTATACGTTCGGGTGTGAACAATGAGTTGTGAATAATAACATCAGATTTACGATCCAGGCGGTAGAAGATGGACGCGTGGAGCTCGTACGCCCATCGTGTGTGGAGTGGCGGGATTTTTTTTCCAGAAGCGTGCATGTGTTCGTTCTGTCGGGTTGGGCTCGGTTGTCCAACTTGTGCCACCCATTTGTTTGAGAGTTGCCGACTGGTGAAGCGTTTTTTGAGTGTGAACCGACGAGCGGTGCAATTTTTTTATCGTTTTGTCGGAACGGGCTTGATTTTCCAATTTGTGCTCTCTTCGTTCGAGAATTGACGACTTGTGCAGGTTTGCAGATCGGGAACAGACGAGTTGCGCCATTTGTTCCGTTTTGTCGGGCCACACTCGGTTGCCGAATGTGTGCAAATGTTTCGATTCAGAATTGACGATTTGTGCAGTTTCTTGGATTGAGAAACGACGAGTTGCGCAGCATGTTCTGTTTTGTCGTGTCGGGCTCGGTTTTCGAACATGTGCAATTTGTTGCATGAGACTTGACGACTTCTGCAGCTCGTTTGACTGGGAACCGACGAATGGTGCAACCTTTGTCGTTTTGTCGGGCCAGGCTCGGTCGCCGAACGTGTGCAAAGTTTGCC